CCGGGCCCTGCCGCCGCCAGCGACGCCCGAACCCCGGGTGAACGTCCTCCGCGAGAAGGTCCTGAGCCTGCCCCTGCCCGACCCCCTCAAGTACTACCTGCTCTACTACCGCGAGAAGTGAGGCCGGGGCGGCCGGGGCGGGGGGCGCCCAGAGCAGGTGCGCGGAGCGAGCGGGGACAGCTCTCCTGGACCGGAACAGCTGCGGTGGGCGGGCGGCATGAGGAGTGGACACCTGCCAGGGTTGGGGAGGGGCCCCTCGTGAGGAGATCACCTGCTGGCCACTGTCGGGGGTGGGGGGTGTGCCCACAGCTGCCACCCCCACCCCGCAGTCCCTTTTCCTCTTTATTAGCGACTGACCCCTCAGATACAGCAGTGCGATGTCTGTAAAGCCGGTTTTCCCTCCACGAGGGCCTCCCCCACCTCCTGAGACGCCGCCGTGCAGCACCGAGGGCTGACCTGGGAGGGCAAGGAACGGTGCTGCTCCTACTTGGTGGTGGTGGGGAGCACAGAGCAGAGCCCTTTCCAGACACCTGGGGTCTCGCGGCCCCCCTCTGTGCCGCCGCCAGGACTGCACTAGATGTTCACGGCACCCACAAAAGCTGGCGTGATTCTTCTGCCACGTTTCAGGAAAATGGGATTGGCTGGGGAAGAGGAGTGGATTTTCCAATTGCCGGCTCTCTCTGTAATTCTGAGGGACTTGCAAGCTTGTTTCCTGTAAAAGGCCCACTGACCAGTCCTCCCCAGAGAATGTCCTGTGTGAGCTGGTGGGTCTCACCCCTAAGGTGTGTGTGTGGGGAGGCTGACACCTGTGGCTGGTGGGAGCGGGGGGTGGGGGCATGTCAGAAGCCGGGGCTGGTATGGGGGCACCTTATATTCCTGAGATTCAGTGGGGGTGGCCTGAGCTCGTTCTGTGACCACACTCTAGGACACTTTAGCATAGATTTTCTGTTGTAATTCTAGAGGGGAAAAGGAGGTTAGTTTTATAATTTTTGGAAGAATGCCTGTGTATTTTGGGCACCCCATCGCAGAAGAGTTCAATGCCTGACCTGAGAAGGAGTCCCTCCTGTCCCTGGGTGTGCACCAGCACTCAGTGGTAGCCAGCTTCAGTCTTGGAGAGGAGGTGACCTTTAGAGCTTCAGGAAATAGGCGGAAGGGCGGGGAGGAGCAGTTTGTAAGGCAGGCAGGTCATTCAAGCCTCCTGCGCAGGGTCCCCTGCTGCCCCATCCATAGTTGGCAGGTCTGACCTACTGGAACTCAGCAGCCACAGGGATGTTCTGTACATAATGTGCAATGGGCGCCCTCCCCGACTTCAGTCACACCAGGGGCTTGACTCGATTTCCCCTGGAGCTGCACAGGGAGTACATCTGTTTGTACCATATTTGCCTTTCTGCTCGGTTGTCAAAACTCCACACATTGCTAAGACATATTCCCAGCATAGCTGGCAGGCTCTCCCCAGGATTTTATATGTACATGCTATCAAATCGTGCTTTTTCTTCCCAAATCTATAACAGTTGGGGGGGGGGGGATACACACACACACACACACACACACACACACACACACACACACGGCTATAATGTGTGTGTGAGGAAGGCTGGCTTCTGCCCTCACTAAGAGGAACCTGTTTCCCAACATGTTCTCCTGGGCTTGAGCCTCTGCCCCAGAGGCTGGCGTGGCCCATGCTGCCTCTTACCGTGCAGACTGCGCCTAACGTGATCTGTGTTTTCTCCGGGCTCTTCTACAAACTAGGTTGTAAACCATGTCTTGATGACTGTTTACATTTACATATTGAGTGGCCTGTGATGTCATATTAGGATGTTTGACTTGGATAAGGCAGTAGACTTGTGCAAAATAAACTTCAAATTTATAAATATTTGGTCTGTAACAGAAAAATTAAATATGTATATAAACCTACTTTTTTTTTTTTTTTGCCAGCCTGGGAATTTCAGGAACGTAATGAAAGGTATTTGAAACATGGGTATTAAAAATAAATAGAGTTCATGGATAAGCACACATATATCAATAAAGTTTGCTAAGCTGTTTTAGCTTTCCCAGATGTTCCCTGTGTGGTATTTCAGTTCTCGAGTTCATTCTTTTCAAAGCATACTTTTCTGTATTAAGATGCACTGTTGCTGGTCGCACTGCTGAAGGGGCAAAGTGGGTAACCCTTACTGTGGGGGTTGAGCTGTGTCCCCCCCTTCGTGCCTTCATGAGCAGCCTGCCACCCCCCCACCCCCTATGTGTGTGGTCAGCCCTAACCTCTGTGATGAACCCACATGGGAAGGGCTGGACTTTGCTAAGCTAGCAAGCAGGGTGGGGGTAGGGTGTGTCTTAACACAATAGAAGATTGATTAAACAAGCCTGTGAGAGGAGAGATGGGCAACTCACTGAGACAGAGTCTTGCCCTATGTGAACCAACCCAAACTTCCTGCCATCAAGGTGATTCAGCCCAGAGCCACCCTAGACGGCAGGGCAGGGCTGCCCCTGCGGGTTTCTGAGACTGTAACTACGGGAGTAGATAGCCTTGTCTTTGTCCCTCAAGCACCTGCTGGTTTTGAACAGCAGACTTTGCGGTTAGCAGCCCAACGTGTACCCATTGTATCTCCAAGCCTCCTTCCCTAGACTCAGTGCCCTGATTTGGACTTGTTGCTGCCGAGTTCAGCCAGAGCAGAGCACCAGCCTGTTAAAGCCGCCCCTGTGTCCTTAGGCTGGCGCCCTGGAGCACTGGGAGAGAACTACATGACAAGGGTCAACACAAACCCAGTTCCCACCCAGGCTTCACCCTCCCACCGCTCCATCCTTGGCACAAGCCCCTCCTGTGGCCTGCCTTCTCGTCCTAACCAGCCTGTCCTTGAGTCAGCCGCTTGGTGTCAGTGATAGGCTAGAAGGACCCTCCTCCAACTGCCCATGCAGCACCGCCCCCCAGCCCCCACCCTACTAAGCACCAGCATCCAGAATAGGGCTCTTCCCAGCCAGGGAAGCAAGTCAGAGCCCTGTCCTGCATCTGTGAAAAGCCTATGGCAAGGGACTTGGCTGAGTACTCCCCTGTGTTTCCATAGTGAAACCCAGAGCCTGAGTTACAACATCTGAGTGGGGCTCGGCATGGAAAGGTCCTGGGCCGCCTTGCAACGGCCAAGTGGGTAATAGGGATGGGAAGTAGTGTGTGTTGCAAGAGGGGCACAAGCCGTTTACGTGATTGTGGGGTGAGGAGGGTCCCCAACAAATCATCACAGGTCTGGTAGGCGCAATTATACAGCGATAATAAGTAAAGATTATAGTAAAGTCATAGAGAGCATGAGAGGTAGAAGAGAGTCAAATAATGGAGTCGGACACAATTCATGGTAGCGTGCTCACCTCAGCCCTGCTTTGTGGTCCTCATGGGGGGAGCCTGGCCACGAGAGCAGGAGAGCCCCCACTTTATTGCTAAACAAGGGTTATATCTCCTTAGGGGGGCATGGTTACAGTTAACCACATGTCACAGGAAGGGGCAGTACAATAGGCATACCCATCGTAGGAAGGGGATGTATGATAGGCATAAGCGTGACAGGAAGGGGATGAGCTAGGGGTGTGCCCATAGGACTGGGAGGGACTAGGGGTATACATGTGACAAGATGGGCGGACCCTAGATTCATGATGGCAGCCTAACCTTGGTCATCCTAGGGTGGGTTTGACCTCTCTGGTGTCTCCTACAAGGAAACAGACAACTACTATCCTTATCAGAAGGGAGTGGGCCCTACTTGTTGTAGGATAAACAGTGGTGTCTGCTTGCTCTAGATGGCTGATAGCTCTTAGGGAGCATGACCGCTGATCTACTTTTGATGACCTCCATGTATATAGTCATTTGCAAGCAGCTAAGTTTGACATATATTTGGGGGAGACAACTTGGGAGAAATCCTTCTGTTTCCCACATGTGATGAACTTTCTCAGAACCAGTGGTGATTTCTTACACCAACAACGGCCTTTGTTTGACCCTCTGCCCGCACCTTAGGCTTTTGGCATCGGCAGCCACACTCCGGCTCCTCAGAGAGCAGCTTTTGCTCGGACAGCCTGGAGATCCTGCAGAGGCGAGCAGACACCCACTGAGCCATGCTTGTAAGGCCCGTGAAAGCAGGGCATTTCCGTAATCATCTTCTGGACAGGTTGCCGATGTCACAGAGTGCCTGGTCACCCCCATACGCCGGTGTGAAACCAGACACGCTGCTCCCAAAGGGCTGTTAGAGTTTAGGGTTGCAACCATTTCCACGCCTGCCCATACAGAGAGCAGCCATAATGAAGGGAACATGCAGGATGTGGGGGATGGAATCTTAGGTGGAGTTAGCCTCACACCTGACTGGAAGCACCAGGGCTCCTGATTCTCAACCCCTTTACAGAAACCTGTTGTTTCTAAATCCCTATAGTAGCTCAGAAGCTTTCTGGAACCTGCTGCCCTTACAGGTGCCTGTGCACGCTAACCAGGGAGGATGCACACATCACGCCTTAGTCTGGCTTCCCCAAAGGCACAGAGCCTGTGAGAAGTGTTTATACCAGGGTCTGATACAACACGTTCGTGGAAAATTCTCATCATCTTTTCACTGCATTTTCATG